GTGATTTCCCGTTTAAGTCACTTATTGCTTCTTTAAAAAAATGAAACCGCATTTTACATGCCTATGTGAATGATAAAAGTATATCCATCATGACCTGATGAAGCATGTAGGTGTGAATAGACAACCTAAAAGTTATTCATTTTGAATGGCAGTTTCAATTAAGAATAACAGATGTACCTAACATAAAATTATCAATCTGAAAACAAAGACAATACAAAACGGAAACAACCACAGCGTATCAAGACTGCAATCTGTAAACGAACAATATCAATGTCAAGAAAAAACTCCTAGATATGCTATTGTTAAAAATGAGACAAACTGTCATTCAGTGACCAATGGACAACGAAAAACAACGAAACGACGAACGAATCCACAAACACTACATAGAAGACTAAAGATTGATCAACACGAACCGAACCAAAAAAACGTTAATTTTAAAACATTATAGTAGTTTTCCAATCTATATGAATGTCTTGCTTGATGGTATGTATTATACGGTTGTTGGTTCCAATTAAAAGCCTACTAGGAATCATAATGGTATCACTATTTGTAAGCAGTAAGATATCTCTGTTTTGTCTCATTTCGATAAACTTCATTCAGAAGGTATCTGAACAATATGTTAGCTACACGTCGTTCTGATTCGAAACAAAGTTGTGCATACTATTAGCAAGACCAACTGCTAAAAGTTACAATAAGTATAAATTAGCTGTTTTTTTTCTTCAATTTATTTTATTTTGTTTTAGACGATATCAATATGGGAATCAAATGCCATATATATATATGTATGTAAAAAAAGATAGACATTACCATGGGCAACAGAATTATAAATGTGAAACGGGAAATTTAAATGCCATCTTTTGTAAAAGACATTTCATTGGCCTCAATTGATTCACAACTTGAAAGCTTTCTCCTGATTGGTTACTTTGGATGTTTGAATTCAAAATATTGAATTTAAGTTCGAATATTGAATCGCGGTTTCGAATTATCCTCCTGGGGTTTTGTATTAGACACCGAGATTTCCTATTGTCTTGGTTATCCAACTAACATAACGGATCTAGACCTATCCCTTTCACTTTATGTTCCATTATATTAGTAGAATGGTGGTGAACTTGCTGAGCAGCTGTCTTATTATAAGGGCTTTGCAATCACTTTTTCCTTCGGATGAAAACAATCATTTCTAAATTATCCCGGTTTAACGACTGAACGATCACTTCTCTTGTAGACGTTGACACGGTAGTCTAATACATTGTCCGTAGTCTAATTAAGATGTAAATGTAATTTCCGCTATGAAGGAATTTGTGTATTTTACGATGTCATGATGCATTGTGTTGGAAAAAAATCTTTATGAATATAACATATCAATGAAAGTTCAAGGAAGGGACAGATATGCTGAAATGAAACAGCATATATTGATGTACCATAAATTATACTTTAGATTTAAAATTGATGATATTGCCTGGTCCTACTTAAGATTTAAATCAATATCATTGTCTTGTCCATGATGTGTGGTCTTATTTATAAACTTCTAAATAATAAATAACCAACATAACACAAATCTTTCACCTGAAGGAAATATAAAATGATTCACAAAATAAAATAAAAATCGTCTTCCCTAAGTGAAATTTAAGTGCTCTGACCTGTTTTAAGCACTAAATTTAGACTCAATTTATCATTTATAATTTCCTTGTCCCGAGTGTTTATGTCAATGTATCACCATAGATGTATAAACCATGGGTTTATACATCTATGGTATCACTAACAGTTTCTCTCTTATCAAATAAGAACCAACAATGTTATAATTAAATCTATGATAACGTATTTAGATTCAGAAGGAAACGTCACGGAAACAATATATAACACTGACAAACCGTGTCTTTGTGAAATGAAAACATTGTTATACCTATCTATACAATAGGTGAGAGCCAGGACAGAATAATACACCTTATCGCTATTTATTCCAATCCGAAAAAGTTCTGGATTACTCAACTTCAGTCCAGCTGAAGCTATCAGGGGCCCTGTTCATACAATGTATTGTGCATACAAATTTTCATAGAGATATGTTTAAACCATCGTAAACATTTCAAACGAAGCATTTTCGTGACTTTACTTTTTATTTAAAAAAATTGAATCATAAACTATCAAAATCTCAAGATGTTCACTTTCTAAACTTTTCCTCCCCTCACATTATTGATGACCTTTGTTTTTGCGGCACTTCACCCAAACAGGAAGTTGTCTAAGTAACTGTTTATTTTAGGATTGGTTTTTTCAATAGTTGCTCTGTTGTTGTCTACAGTCGTTTTTAAAATAGTTGTCAGTAGAGGTTATACTTATCCTTTTAAGTAAGTGTGTTAATTTATCCCTATTAATTATATTCAGAAATATCTTCATTGCTTTAATTTCAATGTCTCTTATCAATAATAAGCGACTCTATAACAAGACCATTCATTTGAGAAGTAAGAAATATTTGATATGATTTATATGTTTGACTGGTAAATGATCATACATGTAAAAGGCTAAACGTAGGTTAAGATCGAGGTTATTATAAGATAATTAACAAACTGGTATAATTGTCGATGTATTACATAATGAATAACTTTGACCTGGAAACGTAAATAACTGTAACTTTGTTCTGTTTTATTGAATTAGATTTCTTTGTTTTTGGCAAAGTAATGTAATTTTAAAAATATCAAAGAAAACAATAAGATAAGATATATAAGAATTTTATTAATCTATTCAAGAACACATAAAGGGCATCATTTAACGCTCACCTAACGCTGAATTCTCTCTATGTATTTTAAACTTTATAAACAATATAAAACTTGTGACCTGATATACTGAAAAAATTGTGTATACTCCAAACTCCTTGCGACTTTATTTAAATTATGCTTTATATTGTTATCCAGTCATTCCGGCTTAATGTTCACTTAAAAGATACGTGAAAAAAAAGTTCCGCACGCATATCAATTTATGCATACCTTTCGATACTTTTCGATTTTTTTATTAACACTTAGTCTATATTATTTGAAGTGCTTTCCAAGCCAAGTAGAGAATTTAATTAAGAATCAGACAGAGGACACACGTCTCTAATCCACATCTCCTTGAATCCAACCATTCAGTTAGAGACTATTCTACAGTATGTTAAAAAGATATATATCTTCTGTAATGCTTTATTGTACTGATCTTTAAAACTCACAGACAAAGTGTAGAGCCAATAGCAGAGCCAAACACTGATTATCATTTTTGATCAGAGAAGGTCACACATATTATACTCATCTCTTTCTATGGAACTCACCAAGGAACACAACCGTCATTTAAAAGACTTTTTTGCGCGTTGTGAATGTGCATATCTCATTTGAAGTCTGGGGTTTTACTTTTGAAGTGGAACACCGACGAATCGTGTCTCTGATGAAGAATTTATCAAATTGTACAACGTAATGTATGCCGTTCAGCCATTGCCATTTTACATCCAATTTCTAATGTCTACAGAAATTTAACGTCAAATGTAGCATCCTCAGCAACTTGGCCTTTATCTATTATCAAAAGTTGGTCAACAGAAATATGACAGCTAAAATACAGGAAATTGTTGAAAAAAGATGAATGTGTCTGGGAAAGTGATAGGTTAAAGTCTGAAACATAACAAATACTCTCCAAAGAATGATAAAATAGTATTCATCACGGGAACAAATACAGACTGTCTTAACCCATTTCTGCAAACGAAAAATGGATTTCCAGCAAAACGCTAAAGGAAATGTAGCATTTTCTACATTTCTATTGAGATGAGGGACCAGTCAAAGGCTTACTTGAAATGAACCAGACATACGAATGTAACTAAAGAATGAACAAAAGTATGATTAAAGACATAATATAGATGCCAAAGAATTCGATAATTTTCCTTATTCCAGGTTTATTGATTAGAATTGCATGTTTTTTTGTAGTTTTATTTGGATGAAAATCCATTTGTTGAAGCACAGTTTAATAGAAAAAAAGGATATGGGGTATCCATCCATAACACAAAATCAGTACATACACAGAAAAAAAAACCACACAAAAAGCAAAGGAACAGCGCTTTTATTGCTGTTCTTCATCTCAAAGTCACAGTAAGGCCTTAAACAAAAAAACAAAAACAAAAAAACTCTCAGCTCCCTGCAAGTTTAAGACGGCCCCTAGCACCGGCTTGAGCGAAATTCTTTGCAAAAATAATTTGGATAGACTTTGTAAGATGTAACACCACCTTATCGGGCCCGGTCAAAAAAGAACATACTGGAAAGTAGTACATATTTAAAACATAATAGTTTCTACGCATAAGGGTAAATCTTAAACTATGTAGCATATATTTTAGTAATTAAGGTATCAGTTTGTATGAAACGCGCAAAGTAAATGTATTCAATTCTCATAATAAAGTTTAAATGCTAATACCAATAAAAAATACCAGGCAAGACAAGCATGTTTTGTTATAAATATTTTTACGCAGTGTTGAAACGTTGTCAAGGAGAACACGTGCAGTCACGTGTAATGCGTTTTATCGGCACTTACACCATTATATTGAAATTCCACCAAATGAGTGTCTGTCAAGAAAATGATGGAATCTAAATGAAACATCTTTATAATATAATTATCAAATACTAGTAATAACTACAAGCAATTATTGCTGTCAACATTTCAAGAATGCCTTAAAACGTTTTCACACATGTAAAATTCTTTATTTTTAGTAAGGTGATACTGTATGATGCAAGTGATGTTGACTTGAAATCCAAAATCACGAAAAGATATAGATGGTTAGGAAAGTATATGTGATGAATAAGATAAAGAATACTTTTAGAAAGTGTATGATTAAGAACTTGTCCCAACCCATTACTTTCATGTGCAATGTGCTTGTCCACTTGTCCACGGTAGTAAGCTAACTATTGATTGAGACATTTGACACAGAGTAACCAGTATGTATGGATATTAATTTTACTTATACCTTTAAGTTTAATGAATTTGTCATTCATTATCCTTACCTGTTGGATCAAGTCTGTTTATATAGTCAGGACAAGGCTTGACGGCGACTGTTCCTGCTTTTGTGGCCGGCCAACAGGATATACCATCCCATGTGATATTGCAATACAGTCCTGGAATATATAAATACATAAATATATTGAAAAAGTTATAACCAACCATCATTTGATAAGAAATATGCCTAAAACAAACAACAAAATTTAACAAAATTATTGCCATACTTTGTTGTATATAAAAAAGGAAGAAATGATTAACTGAACACTAGAGATTGCATCGACAAGAAAATCATTTCCTGCAAAATATGTATATAACATCCACTACGCTACCTTCATATCCGACAGTAAAGTAAACAATTTTAGATTCATAAAATAACAAATGGACAGTGAAATGCAAAATGACAAGTTAAACGTGTTCTGAATACGTTATATCACAGAGCTGTAATAGCAAAACATAAGGGTACGAATGTACACCCTCTTAGTCATGATTTAAAGGTTAATTGGGAATCACACCCTATTACCGGCTATTGGTCCTACAGATACATATGTAACACAGATAGACATATACTGTACACGATTGCAAAAATCCATTCTATTGAAATGGCAATCGGAACAACAGAAACAAATCTAAGAGGGGCTTAGTGATTATGGTGTTGACGCTTTTCAATCATTGAAGACATTATCAGGACCAACCCAAAATCTATGAGTTCTGATCAATCTATTTCGAACTATGGAAAATCAATGAAATGGACATCTTGAACATAGCTGACACAATTATTTGTATTTGACAGGAAAGAAATTACATATGTGCAATTTTTAGAACTGTTTTTTTTCCAAATAATTTGTAATGAGATGGATAACTCCATGTTTATTTTAAATTTGGAATGTGGCGTTGTTATTTCCTTAGTTTCATATAAATTGCCAAGGTTAGACTATATAATTAACCTTCTAAAAAGTAATCAATCATGTTTTGCATAATTTCAATATCTATTGAAATAGAATTTAAAATTCTCGAAAAAAAATTGTATTCTGTATGTAAGCAATTATCTATCCTTGAGTAACAAAAGCAACAGATAAACATAAGGTTTGGTTGTATTTAGCCACAGCTTTTAAATTATCCGACTTGATATATTATTACAATATAATGCATAAATTGAACCTTTATACATTTGTATGTAAATGGGGATCTTGGTCTCAATTGAAAAGTAATAAATCATTTATTGCATGATTTCCATATTTTTTGAAATCTTGAGTGATATTTAACACCATAATTAAGCAGAATTTTTAATTAAATGCAGATTAAGATTCAATATTGTATTATAGTCTCACTACTTGCAATACATGAATATACAGTACATACAGAGTATATACACAATATAAAACAGACAATTAACAAATATAAAATACAAGTACCATCCTATTAACAATTATGAGAGACTGTAAAATAAATTCTATATACAACTATTTTATTACATACGACTGTTAAAATAATTTCATTTTAAGAATATAAAAAGGCATTTCTTCAATGCATGATTAAAAGTATAATATAACTACTCTTTTTAGCTCTTAACTAGGTCATTAAAGCAGACATTATCAATTACAAAACTCATCCTACCAAAATTTTGACATTATGTCGAATACGATAGTTTCACCTAAAACATGTAGTTAACATGGATTTTATGTCTTTCAGGAGACATCATTAATCAATGCAATCTAAATTTAAAATAACAAAGATCATTTAACTTAGGGTGTGCTACATAAATTTATGTAGAAAAAACAGGATAAGAATATTTGCAAAAACTTCCTTCAAACAAACAAACGGCCCTTTCCTACTGGGTCATCATCATACTATATAATGACCCGTGTCAACATAATTAGTGATAAAACATTAATGTAAAATTGTCTAAAACAATAAAAGGAACAGAAAATCCGAAAAGGGCAACAATGATCAGAATATCAAGATCGATCTCCTCAACCTAGTGACCAATTTGATCGAGTTATCGTCCTTAAAGTCAATTTGTACCTATTGTTTTGGGTTTTCTTTGATTTTTTGTTTCAAAGAACTTCTATCTGAAACAACTGAAACATTTGATGAAATGAATGTTTATGAATTTCTTCACAACCTTGTAACACACATGATCGACATGACTAAAATTAAAACAAAGGTTAAAACTGCAAACAAATCCGTAAATTTTGAAAACCTTCGTTTAAAGAGTCAAAATCTCTCGTAAATCCACCTAATGTGTCAAACGATTTCTTATTGGATTTATTGTCCTTTTCTTTTTTAATTTTTAGGATATTATCTGATACATATAATAAAATGCTTCGCTGAGCGCAGCCTGATACGACCGCAGTGGTCGAACCCTGAACAGTTGGGGCAAATTTGGACACAATATTCAAGCTTGATACTATCTGAATTTGGATTGTGATCAAATTTTTGACATAATATGGGTTTCTGATACAAAATAAATGTGGTCAAAGATCTTACAAATCTAATGCGCAATACTGTGCAATTGAAGATTTCTTCTTGAAACTTTTCAAAAATTTTAAATTTTGAAAATTTTGAAAAAAAAATATGAACCCTTTAAAAAAAAATGGAAACCCCTCTTCCCCCCAAACTTTTTGAATCCCACTTCTAGCATTAACCATCAAACTCGATTGCAGTCTTTCTTTTGTAGTATGGAACCTTGTAGTACAATTTTAGAGAGATCCATACACTTAATCACAAGTTACTGTCTGGAAACTAGAAAAAATGCTTTTTTTAACCATAAAAGCCCATTTAAAAACATCATAAAAGTATTAAAATAGAAAATGACATCACAGTCATGGCTAAAATTTAAAAAACCTTCACCAGCAACATTAAATAGTAATATCTAAAAATTAAAATTCCTTCACATACATAATCATGGCTAAAATTAAATAATTTTTAAAATAGAAAATGACATCATAATCATGCCCAAGATTAAAAAGCCTCCATCAGCAACATTAAATAGTAATATCTAAAAATAAAATTCCTTCATATACATAATCATGGCTATAATTGAATTACCTTTATTAAACATTTTTAAAATAGTTACTTCTAAAAATAAATTGACAGCTAATCACATAAAGACTTTATAAATAATTTACAAGCAGTGTAAGGGAGGTAATTTGACAATATGTGTTTGAATTACCTCCCTTACACTGCTTTAAAATTATGTTTTGTACTTAAGTAATTGTCCATTAACCTGGAAACCCTTGTTTTCCTTCTTTTTTGCCCCTAATTCCTACACAGTTTGAGCCATACCCCCCCCCCCCAAAGCAAATTCTTACCATCCCTTTGTGATATGGTAACTTGTGGTATAATTTCAGAAAGATCCATACACCATTTCACAAGTTATTGTCTGGAAACTAGAAAAATGCTTATTTGGGCCCCATTTTGTCCCCTAATTCCTGAACTGTTAGGACCATAACCCCCAAAATCAATCCCAACCTAGAAATCATAGAAATCCATACACTTAAACAAAAGTTATTGTCCGGAAACCAATGTGTCTTCGGACGACAACGACGACGACGACGACGACGACGATGACGTGATACCAATATACGACCGCCAAATGTTTGCGGTTGTATAAAAACGAAATTGTAAACAGCAAAATCGATGGTAAAGCAAATTGGGATTCTTAAATAATTTCATTGTTCACACTTTTGTTTAATAGAAAGTAATAAAATAAATAATTAAATAAAAACTAGACGATATCAGAATCAAAACTGTATTTTTTTTTTTTAGTTTCCTGTTTCGAAGTTTGAAAGTGAGAGATCTTTAAAAAGGTTTACCGACGTTGGACGACCAGTGAAAGTTAATCTAAAGTTCATACTGGCCATTAGGAAGCTGAGCTAATAAGTATCATATTTTCTGCGTAATAATTAGTCCATACACAGACATATATTTTACATGTCTCTGGTCCATGCAAAAAATATTATCATTTACTTTGGGTACAAATAAAAGATGATGTGGGATATGTCAATGAGACAGCAACACAACGACATACAAAACTTCATCTAAAGATCATCATAAAGTCTCCAACAAGTATGGTAAATCATGGCCGTTAAGTTATTAATTATAGTCCAAATAAAATGAATCAAACAATACGACGAAAAAAGAACTTCAAAACATTCAAATGTTACAAAATTAGGTTCCGAAGCTTATGAGCAATGCCATAGTTCCTGTATGAATTCTACACCGTTTATTCTTTTGATGAGCAAATACTGTAATATTTCGTTGAGGGGAAACAATATTCCAGAATATTTATTCCAGTTAAAACTAACATTTTAAAGGAACTTATATGCCACGAAGAATGGCGGATTAGTTTTTGAGATCTCAAACCTCCCCCTTTTAAGATGTCCCTGTTAGGCGAATGATTTCTATTTTTACAGACTTTCCGTAAGCATTCCTTTTCCATTATGGAGTTTTTGGTATACATAAAAATAAATTTTTCAAACACCTTCTGGATCATTTAAGGTTCAACTTTCAAGTCTTTATTTGCATATAGCGTAAACAAGACGGGGAATCTTCTTAATGAACTACTTTTAAAAAAGAATCTGTTCCGCACTAAATCCGCCAGTTGATAACAAAATCTGAAAGATCTTGATAAAAATTAGTCATAATGGTTTTAATAAAAAATCAGAAATATATAAGTTTAAAAGCTTTAAAATAAGATAAGCCAAAGCTAAACTATTTCTAATTTAATCAATTACACCCCTTTCGTGATGACACCTTACACTAACTTAAAAGATAAATCAAATCCACATTAACATAAGGTTTTACTTTAGATGTTAGATAATCGGGATATTTGATCCAAAGGATGATTTTTATGCAGTAAAAATAAACATTATCGTATCGGATTTTATTTCTTGTTTAAAATTTTAATGTGTTGTATAATTTTTTTCTTTAATTTATAAATGCACGCAAATTCTGTACTATTAATAAAATGGAGATTCAAGCCGTAATAGTAATTAGCCAAATGAATTAAACTGATAACTGATAAAAAGCTAACAACAATATAATGTCTACTAAATTTCAAATTGATCTGAACACATCCTGATGGTAAAATATCTTAACAAAACATTTAACCTGA